GGTTTTGTAACTCCTAAGATCCCTGTTGTAACTGTTCATTTTGTGGTCTGAAAGTAGCCTTTGATGGTCTAATATAAACAGATAGATGTGTCTGTGTTCCTTTAAAACCTTATTTACATTATTTATTTCTTTGTGTGTGTATGCATGTGGACGGGTGAGTGCTATAGCATGTGAGTGGAGGTCAGAGGACAGTTTGTGGAAGTCATTCTGTCCTTCCATAACTATGTGGGTTCCAGGGATTGAACTCAGATCGTCAGGCTTGATGGTAAGGGCCTTTACCCACTGAGCCATCTTGCTGGTTGCAATATAAAGCTTTATTTTAAAAAATAGTCTGCTGTCTGAATTTGGCCCATGATCTCTGTCTGATCTGTGCTCTGGAATTAAGAATTCATAGAATTTGGAGATATTTGAACATTTAGTGTCTTTAGTAATGGACTCTGAACTTTGTGTTGATGGATTGTGTTCTGGGTTAGGCCAGGGATTTCTGAACAGACTGAGGATAGAGATCTGCCTATAACCAGAGTGATCTTAGTAGTTTTATTATAGTCTATTCATACCTACTTTGAAGTATCATGCAGACACTTCATGGCATCTAAGGTTGTTGGTTCAGTTTTTCAGTATTTGGAAGTCAGGTTTCTTTGAAGTCTATAGATAAATTCTCTTTTCCCATAAGTAGATTGAAACCTCAGGGATAAGCTCCATGTTAAACGGACTAAAATCTTCACAGACCACAGACATGAGGTATGAATTTGGAAGTCCATTTATTATGTACATTCTAAAAGTTTTAGAACTTGCCTGACCCATATACAAATATGTGATACTTGAGAGCCAGGTGTTGAAACATGTGTTAGAATCATGAAACACTAGAGCTGGAAGCAAACCTTTGATTCAATGCACCAAAGTATTCGGTACATTGACCTGAAACACGTGGCTTGTAACAGACCAGGTGAGGAAGGTTCAGTGTAGTGCTAATACTCTGTACCCTTTTGGATTTTTGAATCATTAGATTTGTACAAAATTTTCACTTATTTGCAGCCTTTCTAGGACTAATTTTTCTAAGTGTGTTTATCCTAGAGCAGTTACATAAAAGCACTTAATTAGTTATTCATAGATATGTTATCTTTAAATTTTCTGTATTGATGGCAGAATTGCTCAGTTCATTCCATTTGGCTTGCAGATGGCTTTTAAAGCTTTTAGCTTTCCATCTTAGAGCTAGTGATTTCTTTTAACTATAATGTAGCTTTTATATATCAAAATGTTTATGGGTAGATCCTTTTAACATACTTTGATTAATTAACTGAAATGGCTTCAAGTCTAAGTGATCCCTAAGGGCTTCTTTAAAAGCTGCAGAGTTAATGCCTACTCTTTAATCACTAATTTCTTATATGTATACTTGATTAGTAGTCAATTGTGGTCAAACTGCAGTTGTAGATTTTGAGAGCCTTTAATAAAATGAAATTGCTTTCTAGATTTTTCATTATTATAGTCTTCTACCTGCTATTTATATTACCATGTTCACAGAAATAGAATGCGGTCACTATAAATAATAACAGCAGTAAGGCAACAGCTGGAGTTACAATTTTTTAAATAAACACTAACTTCCATTTTTTAAAGTAGAGATTGAGTAAGTGTGAATTAATTTAGAAATACTTTGTTCCTCCAAAGTCAGAGTCTTCCCTGAAAGAGTATGTTTACCAATTCTGAGGTACATTGCTCCGCTTCTTACTGTCTGTGTCTTTCTGGCTTAAGCCCTGGGTGGAATGACATTTAGCTTCACACAGGGGGCGGGGGGGTGGCTAGCTTTAGCTCTCTTTATCTTTACTCTTGCTGTAGCACCTGCAGACCCTGAGTGTGGTTGTTTTTCTTCTTTTCTCCTTTTCCTTCCATCTTGTATTTATTTATTTTTAAATGTTTTATTATTTTTATGAAGGGCACATGTGCATGATACCGTGTGCTTGTGGAGGTCAGAGAACAACTTCCTGGCATTGGTTCTTTTTCTACCTTTATGTGGGTTCTGGGCATTGAACACAGGTCTCCAGGCTTATGTGGCAACACCTTTGCCTTCTGAGCCTTCTCCTCTGCCCAGTTTTATTTATTGAGGTAGAAAATAGGGGCTAAATAATGGTTTGTCTTTGAATTTCAGGTTTGACTCAGGAGATACTTATTACCTGGTCTGAATCAGATGATGAGTTTAATCCTGAAGAGTCACTGAGGGATAAATGACAGTCTCTTGGTGATTTCCCCTTGGAGATGTAGTCACCTATGGCTATAAGTCATAGAGGAGACTACAAATTGAGTATTAGGTGCTTTTACCACTGTGGGAGCAGTTAGTGAGTAGAAGAGGACCTCCCAGAGAAGATAGCATTTGAATTGTGCCTGGAAAGTTAGATGGAAGAAGATTGCTAGCTGTGAACACTTTGGGCAAGAATAAAAACTGTAAAAGTCTGGGATTTGTTTGGGAAACTACACAGTCCATATGGATAAAGAATAGACATTGAAAGATGAATGAGAACTTACTTTAATTGGCTTTGTCCTTATTTTCTTTGTCCTCCTTTAAAGGATTTTTAAGGTCAGACACTAATGTGATTTTATTTCTGCTTTAAAACCTGCAAACTTTGTTGTTTTTAGGAATCAGGCAGGCAAAACAAACTCCAAAGGGCAGGTAGACGGCCACGGGGAGTGGGACAGGAAAGCCTACGGAGAACTTGTTCTAGTATCATTTTATTTTAAAAAAGAAAATCTCAGTTGTGCCTCTAAGTACTCCTGTGACTTGTGTCTGTAGAGTTGGCTGTGTATTGCATGTGAATCCTCCAGAGACCTTGAGTTTTCTACACAGGCTTCAAACCTGCACTGATTGTCAAAGGATATGCTTTTGCTCACTGTCAGTTTTTACTAGAGAAATAATCGCCAGTGTTCAATTTCAGACTGAAATATGCATAGGAGAAGCATTATTTGTTTAAAAAAGAAAGATCAAATTCCTCTACAGTTGTGAACATTTGTCCTTGTTGCCATCAAAAGCTAGTACTTTATGATGCTGGTTTTCCTTTCTGATGCGTTGCTTTGTATCAGTAGGGTGATATGTGTACCTGTCTCCCTGTGCTGTTATCTCCTTGCAAGGATTGTAAGAAGCAATTGTGAGGGGCCCATTTGGTTTCTACTGTAAGGGTAGGATTGTCAAGGCTTCTGAGCCTTTGGAGATAAAGGTCGTCCTTATAAAATTGTTATAACTTGTTCTTCCAGAACCTAATGACATCAGAAATGATTTGTCTTTCTTTGTAAATTTTTTTTTTCTACACTTAGGCGACTAGCGTAATTTGCTGTTGTGGATGGTGAATTGTGTTGTGGTCCTACCTGTTTGCTCTGTTCTAGAAATTTGAGAGTCAAGTTTATTATCAGCAGATAACACAGGGAAAAAAAAAAAACCAAGATGTCAGTGTGTTAAACTAAAGCTTTTACTTGTTCTCAATACTTTAAAAAATAGATGGTCAGTCCTGTTTGTTACCATATTTTGTGATTAGATTTATTTTGTTAGACTTCAGAAACCTTGTTTTGGTAATGATACAATGAAATAATGTCAACTACAGATAGACTCCATGAACCTTGTGCAAATTTTGATTCGATTCTTACTCAGGAGCTGCAGTGGAGTGGCCTTTTTAGTTCTCCAAGAAACTTGTTTCTGTCCGTGTGTTCTGTTCCCCAGCCTTGCCAGCCTGGGAAGGTGTCTTTCTGAGCCATTCAAAGATGTTTTTGCCTATTCTGCTTGTTTGTTGCACTGCTTTCACAGTTGCTTTTGCTGAATGATTAAAGGACTCAAGTGCCTACTTATTCTTGTGTTTATTCTCAGTTGAATGTGCCCTTTGCTGAGTATCTGTTCAAGCCATTTGCCCTTTGTGTTCCGTGTTCTGTCCTGTCAGCATCACACTGCTTCACTCTGTTACTTCGTGAGATGGCACTGGCCATTTTAGGGTACACCCTTTGACCCTGTTCTTTAAAGTTTTCTTCACTGTTCTTCTCTCCTTAAGTTGCCACAGAAATTTTAGCTGCTGCTTATTAGTTTCTACAGATAAAAAAGAGTTTGCTTGGATTTTTATTAGAAGTTCAGTTATTTTGGTGAAAAGTTTGTTGAAGATTAAACTGTATTAACATGATATATAATTTTACTTACTTAAATCTAGTTTATATTACCTTAATATTGTGTTATGTAGCTTCTGTTAGACTTATTCCCAGGTATTTGGTCTCACTAAAAAGTGTTCAATTTTTATTTTCTAATTATTTTTTCAAAAAATATTTTATTATTTTTAGCCTACATGTGTGTAAGTGCACCTGTGTTGTGCACTTCCAGCAGAGGTCAGAAGAGGGTGTCGCATTCCCCTGGAATTGGAATTATGGACAATTGTTAGCTGCCATGTGGGTGCTGGGAATTGAACCTGGACACTCTGCAAGAGCGGCTGATGCTCTTAACTGCTCAGCTATCTCTCCCAAATTCTTTATTCTTATGATGTAGAAATTAACTTTACTTTTGAAATTTTACTTTTTATTTAAATTATGTTCTTTTAAAAAATGTATCATTAGCTTTTAATTTATAGGTTTTCTGTATATTTTTAAAAGTTTCTATTACACAGTCCTGATGCTGCTAACAGTGACTTTTCTTTCTAGTTATTTTCTTGTTTCTTTTTCTTGTCTTAGTATACTGCCTACCAACAGTAGCTCACCTTACAGTCTATACTGTGGGTATTTGTTGGTTATTCATCTAAAATATGTATTTAGAATTTAGTCTTTTTATTTTTTATTTTTATTTATTTATTTTTTGAGACAAGGTCTTCCTGTAGCCCCATCTGGCCTGGAACTCACTAGGTAGACCAGGCTGCCCTGGATTTCACAGAGATCTGCCTGCCTTTCTGCCTCCTGAGCGCTGGGATTAAAGGTATGCAACATTGCACCCAGTGTTGGATTTAGTCTCTTTTTAAAGTTAAACACATCTAACTCTTTTTATTTTGCAGTGAGCTGAATTCAAAGCTGCAGGATACTTTAGAACAAATTGAGGTAAGAAGAGTTTTACCATAAATTGAACAGCTCTTTTTTTTTTTTTTTTTTTGAGATTGTTGAATAGGTGCAGGATTAGGTTCTAAAGTATGTGATATTATAGGTATTGCTAGATTATTATACTTAGTCTATTGTCTTTCATTTGAAATAGCCATGTAATGTCAGCATTAATCTACTTGTAAATTCAGTAGTGCTTTTAGAATTAGGGGGCCTTACTATTACTAGGAAAAAAATTGTAATTTAGTTCCACATGTTATAGTTTATACAATACTTTTTTTTTTTAGTTTAGTAAGTTGATTTAATTGTGAATAATTGACTGATCAAAAACCCTCCTAAGGTCCTAAATTTCTTAATATCACATATAGTTCATCAATAACTGTAGAAATGGAAGGAGATGAAGAGATGACTCAACAGTCAGGAATGCTGGCTGCTCTTGCAGAGGACCTGGGTTTGATTCCCAGCACTCACATGGTGGCTGACAACCAATCTGTAACTCCAGTTCCAGGGGATCTGATGCCTTCTTCTGGCTTCCTCGGACATTGGTTGCATGCGGTGCATATACGTGGCAGGCAGAAACACTCATTCACATTTTTTAAAACTGTAGAAGTAGAAAGATAAAGTCAACTCAGGAAGCTTTTTTCCCCCCATTACTTAAATTTGGAATCTGTCTAATTGGTAATCTTTACAGTGCAGGCACTCATTTTAATAAACAATGAGATTTATTAGGTTTTCCCCCCTTACATTCTTTTCTTATTAATAAGGGTCCTGTAATTCTAAGAGTAAAGTTAGACTCTCAAAAGACCTTTTGTGAAAGTAGTTCTTGTTCTTAAGTACAATTATTTGCTAATTGTAAGAATGTCAGTTTATTTGCTAATCACAAAAGCACCTGCTTTGAATTCTGTAAAGTAAGCAGTGCCCTGAATATTTTTAATGAGGGCTTTCTGTTGGGAGTGCAGTATTTCTTCACTTTTAATCAACAGACATCATTCTGTACTTGTTCTTTGCTTATGTAGAAAATTGTTATTTAAAAATGAAGTCATTGAAATGGAAACCTGTGAAGACATGTATTTAGATAGAAGAGCTTGAATGAGGCCTGTACTCACAGTCAAGATTCTGTTGAGACTTACTTTTTTTCTGATTGCAAAAAGATTATTGTATTATTTTTCCATAATTCAACTCATTCATTTTTCATTCATTTTATATAATTACACAATTTTAGCAGATGTTTGAGGAAATATAAAGTTAAGAAAAATTACAAAATAAAATTTCTTAAAAACCATTTTTTT